TATCCTAAAAAAATGCATATTGGCGGATTATTTTAAAAAAAAAGCCATGGGGCTGGGTCGAGTTGCGTCGTACGAGGGTGACTCGGCTGGAAGGTCCATGACAGGTGGACTGCCCAATGCGCCTACCATTGGGGTCGAGTCGCTCGCTCTACGCGGGCGAACAGCGCCTCCGAGCCATCCATTGCTCGCTGGCGTGTGGCAGGAGCCTCTTGGTGGCGACCTGAGTCATCTGATTTGCCCAGACGGCCCGGACCTGGGCAACCTGGCTAGGAGGTCCATGACAGGTGGATCGTCGGGTCCGCCCGGGGTGATCGTCATAGAGCGGCACCCATTGCTCATTGGAGGGCGGAGGAGCCAGCCACCGGGAAACCCCCGCGAGATCAAAAGCGGAGGATTCGTCGGGATCCCTCGGCGGCTATGTTGTTGGGGTTGGGGGACCGACTTGGGCACCCCCTATATCTCGCGTTCAGCGAGACCTAGGGAAAGCTCGTTGAACGTGAGACCGAGATGGGCCGACCGAGGAGCGGGGGAGGCCACTAACTCCTTTTTCTGTTTTTCACATTTTCTGCTTTCCTTTTTCACTTTATTTTTTTACTGTTATTTACACTTTAAATATTCTAAATATATACTCCCTCCGTCCGGAAATACTTGTCAGAGGAATGGATGTATCTAGACGTATTTTAGTTCTAGATACATCCATTTTTATGCATTTCTCCGACAAGTATTTCCGGACGGAGGGAGTATATTATAAAAAACATTTGAAAATGTTGATCAAGTATTTGAAAAATGTTAAATGTGTGTAGAAACAATGTTTATTATGTATACAAAAAATATATTTTTTGATCATGTATTACAAAATCGTTAATCAAGCATTTAATTTTTTTAACAAGTATTTGAAAAATGTTTATCAAGCATTTGAAAAATGTGAAATGTATATATAAAAAATGTTGAGACTATATAAAAAATGATGACTTTTTGTCATGTATATAAAAATGTTAATCAAGCATTTAAAAAATGTTGAAAAAGTATTTAAAAAATGTTAAATATGTATAGAAAAAATGTTCACTATGTACTTTAAGAAGTTAGGAAATTATTGATCAAGTATATAAAATATTGTAATCAAGAATTTGAAAAAATGTTGAAAAAATATTTGAAATATATAAATCAAGAATTCGGTAAATGTTAAATTTGTCTAGAAAAACTGTTGATAATCTGTTAAAATGTTAATATCGCATTCATAAAATGTTTATCAAGTATTTGAAAAAAATGTTGATCAAGAATTTTGAAAATGTTAAATGTGTGCTGTAAAAATGTGGACCATGTGTTCAATTTTTTTTAATATTGCATTTAGAGAATGTTAATAAAGCATATGAAAAAATGTTAAACATGCATAGAAAAAAATGTTGACCATGTATTAGAAAATGTTAATCTTGTATTTAAAATATGTTAATCAAGCATTTGAAAACGTTTAAAAATGTGTATAGAAAAAGTGTTGACCATGTATTCAAAAAATGTTAATCTTGTATTTGAAAAATCTTAATCTTGTATTTGTAAAATGTTATAAATGTTGAGCATGTATTAAAAATGTGTTAAATTTGTATTGGAAAAATGTTAAGCATGTATTAGAAAAGTGTTGTTAACATATACAAAAAAAATGTAGAATGGAAGTAAAGAAACAAAAAAAATGATAAACGAAGAAGACACCAAAGAAAAAAAGTAAAATAAAAATAAAACTGAAGAAACAAATGCAACAAGATGAAAAAAAATCTGGAGAAGAGAAAAAGATAGCGAACAAACTACCCAGAGAAAATTGAATAAGACAAAAAAATGGTGGAGAAAAATTGGCTTTTATATTAAGTAGGACGTGGCCTTCATTTCATAAGGAACTTGACACAGGCGCAGTGGCTATCATCGCTAGCTACTTTCTTTTTTTTGAGACAACGGTAGCTACTAGTACACCCGGGTTTGATCCCCGGTTACTTCCCTCATTTTTTCCACTATTTCGTTTCTTAAGTGAGCTGGCCCAGTTGCTACACGAGAAACAGAAACCTTCAGTGAGAGAGATCCTTCAACCTTGCTTAATGTGACATATAGTCGCCGCGGACCAACTTGAGTGCGGCGGGTCTGTTGTTCTTGATTTTCTGATGCCGAAATTGGCCTTGGCTAGTAATGACATGCCCAGTTTTTAGGCCCGGCATCTTAGTCGTCCAATTCCTCCAAAAAAAAAAAGTCCTCAGTCGTCCAGCTTTGTCTAAAAAGAAAAACTAGTCGTCCAGCTGATCTCAGAAAACATCCCTAATAAAAGCTGGTCTCAAAAAACAAACAAAAACTGGGTAGTAGTCATCAACTTATATCACTCAAGAAAAAGTCAGCTTATAACACTCGTTTCTCAGAAAAAAGGAACTTATAACACTAAAAATAAACTAGCCAACAGCTTAGCAAAAAATAATGTTTATCTACAAAATTGTTCTAAAGAATGTAAAAATAAAATTTCCAAACAAAGTTCGAAGAGTGCTACTTGAGCAGAGTGCAGTTTTCTATTGCGGACGCCATGCGAAAATGTGAAGTCAAGGAAACTACCGTTCAATGTATGCTTGAGATTGGTGCTAGCTACTTTCTCTCGTTAAGTATAAAACGTTGTTAGCTTTTTTTTTTTTTAGAACAAAGACGTTGAGAACGTCCGGCTTTAAATTGATAAAGCCCACAACGAACAGGCAGAGTGTCAAACGATCGGACGTTACATCGTAGAACCAAAAGCCACGGCAAGGCGCAACTGAAGTCTAGGACAGGGTCGAAACGGCGGGCTACGAGCTGATTACAAGGCCGTAGCCCATGAACAGGAACGCGCGGGCTCGCAAAACAAAAGAGATGCCCCACCCTCAGGTAGGCATCGCCGGCTCCCTAGCCGCCACAAACACTTGGTGCACTCGGACTTGCGCAAGCTTCATGAGATCAGTGTCCTTCTGCTTCGCCAACAGACTCCATTGCTGCAATAGGATAGAGCATTTGCATATTATGTTAACCGGGTGCGATGGGAACAAGCCTTCAATGGTAAACTTGTTGCGAGTAAGCACCAAAGCATCGCTCCTATACTAGTCCATATCACCCGCTTGGGCTGACCCTGCACCGAATGTAGGAGGTCCACGAGTTCGGAGGAGGATCTCGGGTCCCAAGCAACCCCGGCAGCCTCCCTAACTGCACTCCACGCAAACCTCGCGATCGGGCAGAGGAAGAAGGCATGGTTCGCGTTCTCGGGGTTCCCACACAGGGCTCACATGCCCAAAGCCGGGCCGTTCCGTTTTGCTATGTTATTGGATGTGGGTAAATGGTCCCCCAAACAGTTGCCAAAGAAAGACTTTGATCTTGAGCGGAACGCGAGCTTGCCACAGTCATTTCACCTATCGCTGTACCGTCCCTTGGCACAGTTTATGGTATAAGGACTTAACGGAAAACCTCCCGGAGGCATTGAGGTGCCACGACACCCTATCTGGCTCGTCAGTAAGCGTCACGGTGGTTACCAGGTCTAACAAAGCCCCTCACCGTGCTGTTTCCTGCATGTTGAGGTTTCGGCAGAAAGCGATGGCCCGTGGGGCAGCCAGAGCCTCGGCCACCTTTTGTTTAGGCCGCACCGCTAAGGCGTACAGCTCTGGGAACTCTTCCCAGGGTGGTCGGACGCCCACCCAAAAATCCAACCAGAATCGGGTGGAGCGACCATTACCAATGTTAAACTTGGCCCCTTGGTCAAATGCGGGTCTGATGGCCTGCAGATGTTGCCAAAAAGGGGGAGCCCCTTGCTTCCCCCGCAAAGAAATTCCCGTTTGGGAAGTACTTGGCGCGAAGGCTGTCAGCCCAGAGGCCCGTCGCCCCTTGCGATAGCTTCCAGATCCATTTACACATTAGCGCTATATTCTGTAGCCTAGTGTTAATGATGCCCAATCCTCCCAAGGATTTAGGCCTGCAAACCGCCGCCCATTTGACCAAGTGGTATTTGCGCTTTAGACCCGTTCCTTCCCAGAAAAAACGAGCACGCGACGTGTCCAACTTGGCATGAACCCCTTCAGCCAGCAAGAACAAGCCCATAGCGAACATAGGCAACGAGGAAAGGCTAGAGTTGGTGAGGACAAGCCTTGCCGCGGAGGACATGAACTTACCACGCCAAGGGCTCACTTTCTTCCCCGCTTTCCTAGTTAACGGAGCCCACTCATCTATCGTCACTCTGCGTGGCGCTAGGGGTAAGCCTAAATATGTAAAGAGGAACTTTCCCACTTTACAATTGAGAAGGTCAGCGATACGCTGTC